AGTTTTAGTTCAGATGGCAGGCTTTGTAAAGGTGGTGACACCAGGAAGTGCATATTTTCAGGGCTGAGGGAAATTGTATAAGCGTATTGAGAAAGTACATCCTATGGACATCTTCAATAAGTAAGTTTACAAACTTCTAGATGGATCTTGTTATTAGGAGTGGGATAGAACTTATGAAATCCAATATAGAAAGATATATTTATTTTTAGTTTTTGGCCATAGGTACCCTTTAAGGCCTCCTTTACACTTATGCATAGTAGGTGCAGTGAAAGGCGGTTTCCCGCACATTAACACAGTACAGGCTAGTGAATGGCACTGCATGCAGTTCGTTGCCTATACTGCAGTAAATCACAATGCACATACCAAGCATCAGGTTGCACTACATCTAAAAAAAAAGATGCAGTCTAGTTTGTGTTCCATTGTTATGCATTGGGCAGCCCATTCTAAAGAATTGGGCTGTATAAACACAGTTCATGTTAATATGCAAATTGCGGTACTTGTGGTAATACAATGGGCAGTTATGATTGGAGTGTTAATGGCAAGAGTGTGAGACATAGCGCTGCACCATCCAGCTTTGTGCTTCGTCCTCTGTTTGTGTTCAGTTGTACTTTATCTACATCTTGTTGCCATAAATGTTTTTTTTTTTCTTCCTTGAAATACGAGCAAAGCTTTGCTTTAATAGTGTAAGCGGCACATCCAGAAATAAGATCTTGCATATTTAAAGACATGAAGGTATTTGCGGTATTGGGGGAATTCTTTTCTGTAGAAAAAAAAACCCTGCACTTTATCCGCAGTCAGTCTCTCTGCGTCCTGGAGGGACACTTGTGCCTATAGTACTCTGCATTTTTACATTCTAGTTTGGTGACTAGGCATCAAATCATAAATAATCGAGGCTATCCTCCGAGAGTGAGAAGAAAGAGATTTACTTAATGGAAATCTCTGAACTGGAGATGAGAGGTTTTCTAAGATTTCTAGACCCGAGTGCATTAATAACACATTTATCTAGGAATCTTTCCGAAGGGGCGGTCTTTAGTTTCTCAGAAAGATAAATGGCGGCGCGTCCAACATTCATTTATCGGGGAAACTTTCTGTACTGCTACCAAGTGGCCTGTTTTAGTTCAGAGTCCTAGGATTTAGTAGTGATAGGGTTTCATCTGCAGCCTATCTCTTACTCTCCTGGTACTGTGTACAGCATTGATGAGTGTCAGGGGGCAAGCGTAGAACTTTGTTGGTAAGAATTCCAATTTTATCTTGTATAGGTAGGGCCGTATTAAACCATAGGCTTTTTGTGAACTGGTCCCAGAGGCAGCAAGTAGGGTTGCCACTTGTCCGGGATTTGATCCCTGTATATGCTGTGTCTGGGTTTCAGGCAAGATGAAACCCATACAGAAGATGTCAGGTGGACAGGGGCAAGCATGAATTCCTGGTGTGCCAACTTGAGTGCATGGAGTAGGCACCGGGCATGGAGGGACACTGGAACTTGGGGAGCAAGGAGGTGTCTGAAACACAGAAAGCAGATAAGTCTTGAAGGGCACGGGACATGGAGGCATGCTGACTCCCCACTCTCTCTCCTGGCTATCTCTCCTGACTGTCTCTCCTCTCTCTCCTGACTGTCTCTCATCTCTCCTGACTGTCTCTCCTCTCTTTCCTGACTGTCTCTCCTCTCTCTCTCTCCTGACTGTCTCGCCTCTCTCTCCTGACTGTCTCGCCTCTCTCTCCTGACTGTCTCGCCTCTCTCTCCTGACTGTCTCGCCTCTCTCTCCTGACTGTCTCGCCTCTCTCTCCTGACTGTCTCGCCTCTCTCTCCTGACTGTCTCGCCTCTCTCTCCTGACTGTCTCGCCTCTCTCTCCTGACTGTCTCGCCTCTCTCTCCTGACTGTCTCGCCTCTCTCTCCTGACTGTCTCGCCTCTCTCTCCTGACTGTCTCGCCTCTCTCTCCTGACTGTCTCGCCTCTCTCTCCTGACTGTCTCGCCTCTCTCTCCTGACTGTCTCGCCTCTCTCTCCTGACTGTCTCGCCTCTCTCTCCTGACTGTCTCGCCTCTCTCTCCTGACTGTCTCGCCTCTCTCTCCTGACTGTCTCGCCTCTCTCTCCTGACTGTCTCTCCTCTCTTTCCTGACTGTCTATCCTCACTCTCTCCTGGCCATCTCTCTTTGCTCTCTCTCCTGGATGTCTCTCCTCTCTCCCTCCGGGATGTCTCTCCTCACTCTCTCCCCTGGCCATTTCTCCTCTCTCTCCCCTGGCTGTCTTTCCTCGCTCTCTCTCCTCGCTCTCTCCTCGCTCTCACTTCTGACTGCTTCTCCTGGCGGTCTCGCCTCACCTCGCTCTCCCTCCTGACTGTCTCTTCTGGTTGCCTCTCCTCACTCTCTCCTGTATATCCTCCCTAAAAAAATGCTGCACAGCGCTAGAGTGTTCAGGTTTCGCTTGAAGAAAAGGTGTCAACCCGAGCAGCAAGATAAGAGGAAATTGCACCAAAATACAAACTGTATGCTTTTTTTTAATCTTCTCCTCTCTCTCTCCTGACTGTCTTCTCCTCTCTCTTCTGACTGTCTGTCCTCTCTCTCTCTCTCTTGGCTGTCTCTTCTTTCTCTCTCCTAGCTGTCTCTCCTGACTGTCTTCTCCTCTCTCTCTCCTGACTGTCTGTCCTCTCTCTCTGTCTCCAGGCTGTCTCTACTCTCTCCCCTGACTGTCCTCTCTCTCTTGGCTGTCTCTTCTTTCGCTCTCCTAGCTGTCTCTCCTGACTGTCTATCCTCACTCTCTCCTGGCCATCTCTCTTTGCTCTCTCTCCTGGATGTCTCTCCTCTCTCCCTCCGGGATGTCTCTCCTCACTCTCTCCCCTGGCCATTTCTCCTCTCTCTCCCCTGGCTGTCTTTCCTCGCTCTCTCTCCTCGCTCTCTCCTCGCTCTCACTTCTGACTGCTTCTCCTGGCGGTCTCTCCTCACCTCGCTCTCCCTCCTGACTGTCTCTTCTGGTTGCCTCTCCTCACTCTCTCCTGTATATCCTCCCTAAAAAAATGCTGCACAGCGCTAGAGTGTTCAGGTTTCGCTTGAAGAAAAGGTGTCAACCCGAGCAGCAAGATAAGAGGAAATTGCACCAAAATACAAACTGTATGCTTTTTTTTAAGTTGCCCTCATCCTTTGGCTATCTCTGTCCAAATCCAGCAGGACAGGAGGGGTATAAGGCCTTGTTTTAGTAACATCTAGTCAGTAGGATCCTCCTTTATTTTTCCTCTCTCTCTTTTTGAAATGTATTATTATTACTTCTTATGAAAGACACTTATCTTGTGCTTTCACACTCATGCACAGCGGTTTCTGCATAAGTAGGCACATGAAACGGAGAGATGCATCCATCTAGACATTCCTTGCAGGCGATAGGATTGTGTACTCTAGAAGATCTGTATAATAAACCTTTCTGCTCCAATTCCGGTTTTACATTTTCACAGTTACAGTCATGTAACACGGTGCTAAAAAGAGGTGCAACCTGTATGAAAGGTTACATTTTCTTATGTAAGCCAAGGGCGTCATGAATGCCAAATGCAGCCTGATTTCAGAGGATTGTTTTATATCCTGTATATACATATCTTAATGGGGACTGTTTTTTATGTGTCCAAGTTGTGCTGTAGTAATAAAGGATTTGTATTGGTGCTTTAACCAACGTAGTAACATTTCGAGGCCTGACATCAGTTGACTTTGCTGATTTGTTAATGCAGGTTTGTGTAGCTGGTTTGGAGGAGTTCATGTAACGCACCAATACAATACTTCTAGAAAATGCCAGAATTACCAGGTTACAGGTCTAGGCCAATATTTATAATTCTACTCTAGAGGGCTGTGCTTTTTATTGTGGTATGTTGGCATTTAAAGCTGCACTCTGGAGAAATTTCAATGTTACCCTTGCAGTGGGGCTGCCTCCACCATTCAAGGGTTAAATGCTCGTTTTTGTCTAAGGTACCATTAAAAAGCTGTTTTAACAGATTTATCCCTCACTCCTCTGGCAGCTGGTGCTCTCCTCTTCCTTCTGACACTCTGGATTGTGAATGGTTTCTTGGTGTCCTCACGTACAACCCAGAACTGCTGATTTTGCATCGTACATGATGCTGTCACAGTGCCTGTGGCTGATGTAGCATAGAAGAGAAGTGGCCCTCTGCAGGAGTGAGGGATAAGTTAAGTAAAACTACTTTTTAATGATATTCTAGACAAAAATGAGCATTGTTCTGAGTGTTCTGTGTCATTATCCAGATATGATTGGTCAAATAATGTGAACAGTGTTAGGGCCTTTTTTTGAAGCTTTAAGAGTCACTTGAGTCTGCATGTGCCTAAAGCTGCTGGTGCATGGTGAATGTTCACTTGTCAGACAGGTAGGTCTTTCTAGGAAAGTGTCAACACTGTCTTATATTAAGTGGTCAATATTGTGGACACCTGACCATCACACATATATGAGCTTGTTGGATGAGAAGACCTGCAATGCAACTGGTGTTTCAATTCATCCAAAAGGTCTTCAGTAGGGTTGGGTTCAGGGCTCCGTGCAAGTTCCTCCACACCAACACTCAACACACAGACTTGATAGCAGGTATTGCTCTACATGCCCTGGTGAGAAAAGAGAAACATCCTTTAGCAGCTGCAGAGATTTTTCAATGTGTAGAGACTCAGCAGTGTTACTCTGGTGTTTGTTACTCTGAGCTGGATGTGTATAGCCAACCTGCGATTGCTGAACTCATCTGAGGGTGCATCAGAAAAGCATTTAGAGGTGAAATAGAGTTACGCCATTACTAACATCATGATCTATGATTTAACAACACATGGGTGAAGGGCATTTTTCTGCTTACCAGCTCACAGATGTGCAGGCAAAATGTAAACCCTGGCAGCAGGCTGGTATACTGAGTGATAACATAGGAAAGTTTGCCTTTTCAGTTTGTTATCTGCCAAATATTATTTTTTAACAATAAATTAAGATGTACTGTAATATCATACTATACCCTAAGTCATTTTGTGTTGATTCCTTCAGAACCTGTGCAGGAGAACCCTGACCAAGCAGAAATCGCTCTCGAAGAAGAAGAAGACACTTTGTGGAACTTCAATATTGGAAGTGAATCACGGAAATTCTGTGACCTCTGCAGAGCTTGGTTTAACAACCCGATGATGGCCCAGCAACACTATGAAGGCAAGAAGCACAAGAAGAACGCAGCACGGGCTAGGCTGCTACAACGGCTTGGAGAGACTTTGGACTCAGAGGCGCTGGAAGGTCAGTCTTGATCTAAATCCTTTTCTTTTTTTTCCTTTCCACTAGTCTGTTTAAGGTCAATAGCAATGTTCAAAGCTCCCAAAGATGCTGTTAAGTCATTGCTTTGTGCTATTTAAGCAGCATGCTTCTCCCATGGTTATGTGTATATATCCCAGAATGCCCATGGATGGAGTGTGGCAGCTTCTGAATTACAGCTTAAAAGCCAGTTTCCTTATATGGAAGGGGGCTGGTCTGCATATATGGAAGCGGGCTGGTTTGCATATATGGAAGCGGGCTGGTTTCCCTATATGGAAGAGGGCTGGTTTCCCTATATGAAAGCAGACTGGCTCTCCTTGGTCATGGATAATGTATATATGCTAAAACGGGAGAATGCGGTAAAAAATGGTAGGTTTTTGTTTTTTGCAAACAGTAATAAAGAAGATCACAGATACAGGTAAGTTTTGAATTGCACTGCACTACATAATTCTTTTTGTTGCGTGATGATTTTGCACTTGTGGGATTTTGATGAAGCCTGTAAAGCTTTCCAGCTCTAGCTTTGCCAGGCATTTTTTATTATTAATATGGATTTACTGCTGCTTCCACTTTATACCTAATTCTGTGTATTTGTTTATGTCATAAAGTTGCAGTTGGTGACTGAATATAAAAGTGGCTGCTTGTGGATAAAACATTTATTTGTAATACATGTAAACACTGTCATCAATTTATATGATGTGTAGCCAGTATTATAAAAGTAGTGCAAATATCAGAGTGTTTAAAAATTTAGAGCAGCATGGAGTGCCGGGGATCCCTTGACATATTGGCAGCAAAGAAGCCATACTCCAGAGTGCCAGTTTGTTAAAATGTTAAGGACGCCAAGTCACTACTTGTTCATCAGCACACACATTCCTCTTGTTTTATACTAGTTATTTAATAAGGACAAAGTGCTCTTTTTTGGGCAGAAGTAATACTTTATAAACAGCATTAATGTATACAATGTGTACTATGTGTACTACTCATTATGAAAAGGTAACAATTGCAGTGCTTAATACATCAACATATATTTGATATAGTGTATCTGTGTGTTTTCAGCCTCCATACTGGATGAGCTGGTAGTATAAGAATTGGAGAAGATCATTTTTCTTATTGGTGGGTAAATGGAACTTGAGAGAGATGTTTCCTTTTCGTGCCTTGCGTAGGAAATGTACAGCAACTTTACAAGGAAGGGTCCTTGGAGCTTAAAGAAGAACTCCCGGGAAATAAAAACTATTAAAAGAGAACAATGGCCGAATGTTTTTTTGCCATAGCTCTCTTAATGATCACAGGAGGACGTATGCTATGTCCTCCTGTGACCCAAAACTGAGCATATAGCAAGCTATCGTCCGCTATATGCTGACAGCGCAGAGTTGCACTGCAGCCGGGACGGATTCAGACGGATCCCGACATTATTGTCGGGATTCACCCCATTGGATAATTGACAGCTGCCTCTGCCTATCTAGAGCCAGATAGCCAGATTCACCTGTCTGTTCCTCTGGGGGGAAATCCTAGAGGAGAGCAGTGACTGACAGTCACCGCTCTCTGCAGGGAGAGGATCGGAAAATGAGCAATCAGTGGTATGTGACCGCTCATTTCCAGATCTATAGAGCCGACGTGACAGCTGCCGTGTCAAACATCAGCTCTTATTATAGGGAAGAGTGTATTTCATTCTCCCCATAATTCTCCTTTAACCCCTGCAGTGGGGTTACCCGCACACTGCATGGGTTACCTGCTTGTTTTTGTATAGGGGTAGCCTCACTGCAAGGGTTCTGTCAGACAGAAATATGGCAGCTGGCATTGATGACTTTTTAAAAGTAAAGGTATTTTATAAAGTGCTGGTTTTGGGGATATCATCACTCTCTATTGCTTCAATGACCTGGAACAAGCACACAGCAAATAAAGTCTGATATCTTGTCTTACATGCTTGTTCCAGGACAGTGACTACAGTCCATGAAGCCAGGACCAGGCTGACTGCCCTGGTGCCTTCACCCTAAAAAACAACTTGGTGTATTTCTTCCCTGACAGGTTACCTTTCATGTAGTTTACACACAAGTAGCTTTTACAATTTTGGTATAGAAGCAAAGATTGTCCTCTTAGTTATTTTTTGTCACGGAAGAGAAGCAAACTGAGCAGAAATGACCACTACTTGAGGTCATACCCAAGCTGCTAAGTACAGTCCTGAAGAAATTCAGACAAAGTCCATTCAAAGTCTGTGCGAGCAGTTTCACTGTTGAACTGGCCTATTTAATGGGGTCGCCTGCCCCTGTAGTCTGATCACTTGGTGTCAGACATCTTTAGAAGCTTGCCCTGGCAATACAATTCTAGCTTTTCCACAAGTGTCAGCATTTCTCTTGCTGAGTACCCTACAATCACACTGAACCTGAATATTATGCTTGCTGTTATTTGCATGTTCACTTCAGTACACAATAATAGTTTCAACAGGCAACTGATAGGTCACCACTCCCAGTGTTCCTTTATTCCATTTTATTTTAAATTAGGTCTTTAGTGGCTTCATTTAGCAACAGAGGGCAAATGAACAGAACATTATAATCAAAATTACAAATTAAATATTGAGACACATGGCACCATAGCCTAACTGCGAAGTACTTTGGTTTTCTATCCAGGTATTGTATGACACCAGGCCACCTTGGTTTTATTGTGATCTGAGAACTCCTGCTTGAGATTCAAGAGAGTTAAATGAGAATTATGGGGAGAGTGAAATACACTCTTCCCCATAGTTAGAGCAGGCGTGTGACACTAAAGATGTTACATGTCGGCTCTATAAATTGAGAACTGAACGATCACATATTGCTCATCGCTCAGTTTCCAATCTTCAGTCACCGCTCCCTGCAGGGATTGCCTCCTCCTGTGTCCATTCCTCCAGTGCCGACTGAAAGGATGGACAGGGGAGAGGCGGGCACAGCTGGCTCTACCTCTAGAGAGCTGACAATCAGGTGCTGGGGTGGATCCCAACAATATATTTGGGATTCGCCCAGGCTGCAGCGTGCTTCTGCGCTGTCCGCATATAGTGGGCAATAGCCCCCGCTATGTGCTGAGTTTTGGATCACAGGAGGACATAATAAGTGTCCTCCTGTGACCTTAAAGACAACTATGGCCAAAAAAGGTTGGGCCATAGATATCTTTTTAGGTTGGCCATAGATTTCTTATCCATGTAAAACAGTGTGGATAGGGAAATCATTTCTGCTGGGCTGGGCCGTCTCCTTCAGCTAAAGTCGGTTGAACAAAATCATCTTTTGTCAAATGGCGTAGTGCTGGCAAGGCTACCCACAGCTCAAAACCCGAGCAGTGTATGACCAGCTTTATTCATAAACAGACCAAGTACAGAACCCTTGCTGTTTGCCACACACAGACCTCCTGATATAAAAAACGATAATAATCTTAACCACCAATCAAATTTAGACCAGTCTTGAAAGCTTTAATCTGACTGCTGATACGGAAAGCAGAAAAAAGAGAATGCTACACAGGTTTCTGGTAACACATTCCCAGGGACCATGGATCTCTATGGATTTCAGCTGCAGTCACTTACAGAGTAGCTAAGGGCTCTAGCATCCAAATTTCATTTTCCCTATCCCTAACTTCCCTATCCTTTAGCTATCTTGCATTACAAGTTTTGGCAGATCACCAGATTATAGACTTAGTAAAAAAAAAAAAAAAAGCAAGATTTTTTTTTTTAGGGATTTTTTTATATTAATATTTCATAAAATTTCCTTTCTAACGGGGAAGCCGTTTTGACATGTTGTTGCTTATTGTCGATTGTACATTTATTTCCAGCTAATAAAATGTGGTACGACTACGAGGATTTGATATTTGATGCAGCTTGCTGTCATGGTTGATATCCATAATCCTTAACAGTAAGAAAAAGAGGGTATTAGTCATCCAAAATAAATATATGAAATTTGAAATGGCAGCATCATTTTACTGTATCCGAGAATTACAACTCAGCTACACGGTGACAAATGACAGCATGTAAATTCTTCCATTAGTCAGCTCCACTGCTTTTCCAATGTCCCATATTTTCTAATGGACTTTTTTGCTGTGATTTTATGCCCAGCCGCTGTGACATGACAATAATTGTATATGGCAACAAGAAACCATACATGAATAACAGACTCCATCCGGCTAGGGCATATACCCTGTGAATAAGTTACCCAGATTTACCAACATGCAGCTTTTAAATGTTCTACTAATATTTCAAGAGATGTGGATTTTACTGACACATCTTTGATCTGCTAATATTTGTCTAGTCCAGCTATGAGCCGATCTAATAAAGCATCACTGAATTTGTGAAGGACATTTGAGGATAGGTACATGCATTAATCTTCATGCATCTAGGTTTGGAAAGGTTTAATATTTGCCCTCTATCAAATCAAGAACAGAAATAACAGTTCCCAGGTAAACAGTGCACGGAATTCTGGGTCTTATTTTGAAAGGTGGAAGAAGAGTAAGTCTGGGCAGCATGCTGATGCTACAGTATGTGCTGACCACTGCACGGTTTATTTGAAAGGCCGCCAAATGTCCAAAATTTACATCATCCTACCAGGTGCTCTGCCTTAAGGTGCCTTTTCTCTATCTTAAAATTAAAAAAGATCAGGGGTCTGATTAGGCTCATGATATTTTACCAGAACCCCCCTAACAGTACGGTGGAAAATATTACAAATACTTAATTAAATAATTTTTTTTATAAAAGAACATCTCCCCCATCCCGCACACATACAAATAAGCCCCATGTGTGCTGTGGGAACACGTGCAAAATTGTGCATGTCCCTGCAGTGCACGAAAATGTGTGTCCTTCTTGGAGGCGCATCGCGGGGTCATTCCTTCCAAATAGTACAACAAGGCACCTTACTCTTTCAAAACACATGATAACAAAGTCCCATGCATTTTGGTGCTGCATGCTTTGAAAAAGTGGACGCACTTCTTTGGTGTGATTGTTGTGTGTTTGGGCAGCTTATTAAAATGAATGGGCTGCCTAACAGGCTTAAAACATGCAGACATGGGTGCCGTCGCACACGCACAGGTGTGAACCCAGGCCAACCCAAACACGTAACATACACATGGGCAGTACACACATTGGGGTAATGCATGTTATGTGTGTTGACCAACACACTAAGGCCGGTTCACACCACCTGGCACACATTATGGTGCACATAAAGCACACAATGGTGTGTTTTGCATATGCACTGCAGTGTGTTGTTCCAGCTCATCACTGCTTGATGTTGTTTTTTTTTTTACAAAGCTTTTTAAATAAAAAAAAATAATAATAAAATTCCGTCATTGCCACATGTTATAACAAGCTGTGTTGCGATAAAATGTTTGTCTGTATCATTTTATTGCAGGCACACATGGCACTGCTGAGTGGGTGTTATTACCATAATGTGAACTCCAGATTTTTTGCATCAGTTGCTTATTTCCAGTTTTGCGCTCATTTGATTTTGACTATTTCATAAAAAGGCAAAATTTAAAAATGTACAAATATTTGTTATTAACTCAATGTACTTTTATCTTTTGGATTTAGTGGGGTTTAGGAAAGTGATGTTGTATTTGTGTGCGCTAGCAAACATTTATCTGTATTTTTAATGAAAATTTTGCTTTGCTGAACATTTGCACAACTATCATGGGACCTACAAAATCAGCGGCACCATCTTTTTATTCTATGGGTCCCGTGCTTTCAGGGCTTGTTCACACCAATTGTAGTGCGTTCCAGCACTACTGCTCAGCAATCGCTCACTAAACTTCCCCCTTCATTATGGGGCAGGAGTGGGGGTGCATTGCAGTCAATGGTACCGCAGCCAAGCCCCCCACGTGCCTGCGTTCCGGTCCACCCCAAACACAAAAAATGCTGCATGCTCTATTTTTTGCGTTCACAGTGGACCGGAACCAGGCAATGCTGTGCCCACTTTAACACATTGGGAACAGAAGAGGCAACAATATTGCCTTCAATTAGTTCAGTATAAAGAAATTCACCCATGATATGAATTATTGAAATAGCTTCAATGGAAAGCATGCTTTGCATAAAATATATTATGCCTAGCCTAAAGTGGGGATGTTCTCATTTTCTTGGACCGCGTGTTCTCCAGATCAGCACTTCTACTCTTGCAAAGAAATATTCATCCGTGATATGAATTATTGAACTAGCTTCATATGACAAGTATACTTTGCATATAATATATTATGTTCTCCAGTGGCACCATTCTAATTTTCTTGGTGGCCCCTGTGTGCACCAGATCAGCACTTCTACATTGTATAGAAAAACAGGAATGTTTTGAATCAGACAATGAAAATACGAAACCTTTCCCGGGCTGCATCTTTTCTTTGAAAGGGTTAAGTAATCCCAGCGTAGCATGAGTGAAAAATAAATTAATTGCATGTGAATTCATCGTGATATTTCCACATAATGTGCTAAATCACCTCAGCGTAGCTTAAGCCTCTCAAGGTTCTCCAGAATAATTCCTGCTGACAGGAGTGTTCTCTTTGCCCACTAACTGTTTATAAAAAAAAAAATAATAATAGTGATAGTTTGGATGCAAATGAAATCCCTTAAATAAAGATTACAAATCGGTTAGCGCAGAGGCCCGAACTTTGTAACGCTGATTGATAGCCCTTGTTTGTTTCACAATCATTCCGTTCCTTGTTTGTACTTTCCCAATGTCAGAAGAAGACATACAGTGCAGGCAGTGATGCCTGAGCTGCATTAGCAAGCAAGAGGAGGTCAGAGACCAGGGTTCTATAAACTAGGTCGTGATGTTCGGTCTCTCTCTGTTGTCAAAATA